GGGGAGAGAGACGGAGGGAGGGATGGAGCCACGGGCGCGGACGTAAAACATTGTTATCTTTGTAAAATGCGTTTAGTCTTCCATATCGCTTGTTTTCCTCATCCAGCCGCCCGCAGCATCCTCGCTCCGTCTCTCACCCCCTCTCTTCCTCCATATCCCTCCCTCCCTATCTCTCCCCCTCTCTCATCTCTCTCCCCTATCTCTCTCCCTCCCCTTATCTCTCTCCCCCTATCCCTTTCCCTCCCCTCATCTCTCCCCCTATCTCTCTCCCACCATCCCTATCTCTCCCTCCTCATATCTTTCCACCCCTTTTTCCCTCGTCACCGCATTTTACTTACCCCACATCCCCATCATCGCTCTCGAGGGTGCTCCGGGAACTCGCACACCGACCCAACCTGTGACGCACCCAGCTTTTCAACCGGCGCGACCCAGTGGTGGTCGTCGCGCGGAACCCTCACCCCCCTATAGTCCCCCCTCTCCCTTTTTCGAGGGCGGGACCACAGGGTCGCGGGTTCGTGAACCCCACACCCCCCTATAATCCCCCCTCGCCCGTTTTCGGGGCTGCTGCGGGGTTCATTAGGGGATGATACGGGATTCTCGCGCGTATCTCTCCTCTCAATCGAGATCGAGGGGAGCATACCTGGGGTCTCAAATTCGAACGGATGTGATTCCGTGCATACCTCGTTCCACAGCGTCAACAGTCACGCTATTTTGCGTTTTGTGTCCGGAGGTATGAATCGAACTCGGTACCCTGTTGGCATGAAGCTAGCACGCTAGCAATACGCCAACACAGGCCACATCGATTCTGCTTTTTTTCGGCCTCATGACCTGTTAGTTTATTAAATCCAATTTTATCTTTGTGCTATCTTACAATAAATAATAAATTCCACGCTTTCCATTTTTTGTCCCGAGGTATGGTTCGAACTCGACACTCTTTGGGTACGAATCCATCGCTCTACCAATTACGCCAGCACAGGCCACATCGATTCTGCTTTCTTTCCGCCTCATGACTTGTTAGTTTGTTATATCTAAATATTAATTTTGTGTTATTCAACACTAAATAAATACCACAACGTGAACAATACTCTTTTTTTGTCCTGAGGTATGATTCGAACTCGGTACCTTTAAGGTACAAAGCCATCAATCTATCCAATACGCCAACACAGGCCACATAAAACCAACTTTTTTTTGGCCATATGACCTGTTAGTTTATTTTCGTTTAAAATATACAATATCATCTACTTTGCAACGGTTTACTAATGTGATCGTCGTGGCGTCGCGCGTTAGGAGGTGGGAGTCACTGGAGAGGACGTGGTAGCAGGTTCGAGACGTGGTAGAGGTAAGCAAGGTAAGAGTATTAGTTCTTAACGTAGATAAGTATTAGGTTAGCGTAGGGTAGTGTAAAGTAAGGTAGGAGATGGTAGCGTCAATATGATAGGAATATTAATGTAATTAATGTAATAATTACGCGAATCAAAATAAAGATATATTAGTATTGATAAAGATATTCGAAAAGAAGAAAATAACACAATTTAAAACTTAATTTTTTTTATAAGTTATAGTTAAGTAAAACTGACCAATATACAAGGTATATTAATTCAAATGATCTAATTAAGACTTTAAATAATAATACAGATTAAAGTGATTGAAAAATGTTAATATTTTTGACATGATTGAAATGAGTGAAAAACCATAGATTAGTCTATTTAAAATGGCCAGAGTTATAACTACATTAACTTTATTGATCATGATAGAATTAGATTACAAAAATTATATCATATAAAATTTATTCAAAATATTAAATCCTCTTCGAAGAACGAATTATTGAGCATATTAATGTTCATAATAACATTAGCTTATCAGTTTATAATACCTGTATTGTATCTTATGTTTCTAATATATATCACTGAAAATGGTGTGAAATGAAACACTCCAAATAAAGTTTAGTTAGTTTTATTCAAACTTCCATTCAATATATCACAGTATTTAATAATACAATTATATTAATTTATTCTTACAATTACAATAACAAAAATAATTAAAATACATTAACATTTGTCTAACAGTATAATTTATACATATATATATATATATATATATATATATATATATATTATAGTTTAAATATATAATAATGACACAGCATGACATTAAATTAAGTGATATTTATAGCTAAGAGAAAAAGTTCACCATTTAAAGAAATAATAGAAATTTAGAAATAGAAAGTAAAATATTTAAACAAGAGAAAACATCGGTTGTCTGGCGTATTAAATGTTTAAGGCACTCGACTAACATAAGGGTTTGCGAAAAAGCAAAGTCTGTTATTAACGTGTTTCTACCGAGTCAAAGCAAATGTATAAAGAGCTTAACCAAGATGCGGCAAGATGGTTGCAAACACCCAAACAGTAAAGAAGCTGTTTTTGACAATTCTCTACACTAAAAAGTGCACTCAATAAGTATCCCTATTAATAACACAAGAAATTTTTAAAATTTAGACATGTTTGAATATCTTTGTAATTTACGTTACAGCATAATGTAATTTGGCCGTAGAGTGGCTCATAATTGAATTAAAACAACAAATTAAATCAAATACAATATATTTATTCATTATTTCATTAACATCTAAGCTCTTAACTATTCAATAGATCACAGTAGGCATCTTCTCTGGTGACAAGACGGACAGTATAATTAGTAGATCAAATGATTGTTCTCACTCATGAGCAACTTGAGAGTTCACCACTTGGCTTGAAGTTGTCGTTCACCCTATAAAAAAACAATGAATTAGTAACAAGTCTCATAAAATCATAAAATATACTATAATAATAAATTACTTGATTAATCATTCAGCCCCATCTTCCAAGCAACTTCAGTAAAACCTTCATAGTAAAACTCAACAAGTGGTATTTATAATAACTGATTAAGTTAGTTAGGTTAGTCTGTTATTGAGTTAATAGGAGTTAAGTTAATCATGCATAATTATAGGCAGTTATTAAAAAAAAAACCACTTGCGAGTCATACATATGTTAGAGCTTCAGGGCAGTAATAGTTGGATTGAGAAGATCTGCAAAAAAGAAAGAAACATTTTAGGAATGTTTCCATTTATGCTGGTATGGATAATCACATACCTGGTAAAATGTTTCTGGTAAGATTCCTGGTGAAGTAGGGTGAGTGCAGAGCAGCAGTAGTTGCAAGGACCTGAAAAAAAAAATAAACATGTTTTTTATTGTTTATATTTATACTGATTATGAATGAAAACATACTATTTAGATTATTTTTAAAGCGATTCCTGGTGAAGGGGTCAGTGTGCAGAGCAGCAGTAGTTGAAAGGACCTAAAAAAAAATAAACATGTTATTTATTGTTCACATTTATACTGATTATGGATAAAAACGTACTTTTTAAATTATTTTCAGAGCGATTACTGATGAAGGGATCAGTGTGCAGAGCAGCATTAGATGCAAGGACCTGGGAAAAAAATAAACATGTTATTTATTGTTCACATTTATACTGATTATGGATAAAAACGTACTTTTTAAATTATTTTCAGAGCGATTACTGGTGAAGGGGTCAGTGTGCAGAGCAGCAGTAGCTGAAAGGACCTGAAAAAAAAAATAAACATGTTTTTTATTGTTTATATTTATACTGATTATGAATGAAAACATACTATTTAGATTATTTTTAAAGCGATTCCTGGTGAAGGGGTCAGTGTGCAGAGCAGCAGTAGCTGAAAGGACCTGGAAAAAAATAAACATGTTTTTTTATTGTTCACATTTATACTGATTATGGATAGAAACATACTTTTTAGGTTATTTCCAGAGCGATTCCTGGTGATGGGGGTCAGTGTGCAGAGCAGCAGTGGTTGAAAGGACCTGGAAAAAATAAACATGTTGTTTATTCACATTTATACTGATTATGGTTAAAAATGTAATTTTTAAATTATTTTCAGAGCAATTCCTGGTGAAGGGGTCAGTGTACAGAGTAGCAGTAGTTGAAAGGACCTGAAAAAAAGAAACATGTTATTTATTGTTCACAGTTATACTGATTAAGAATAAAGATCCTGGTGAAGGGGTCAGTGAGCAGAGCAGCAGTGGTTGAAAGGATCTGAAAAAAAAAATAAACATGTTATTTATTGTTCACATTTATACTGATTATGGATTAAAACGTACTTATTAAATTATTTTCAGAGCGATTCCCGGTGAAGTGAGTCAGCATTCAATTTTATTCGATACTTGCAGTATTTACTAGCAGTTCAAGAATTGCACCTGGTTTTATATGAAATGCATTAACATTAATTGAAAACAGTGAAAATTAAAATTTAATGTAATATGTCTAATCCACATTGCATAATCTCAAATGATTCAAACGACCACATTATTTTTCAATGGTTGAATAGATTAGTATATTAGTATTTGTTATTATTAATAATAAAACTACAGATGCTACCCAACTAATAAATTAACCCACATGCAAGACATATCGTGATCATTCGAATCATGAAATTCAATGCCTTAATGATTTTGTAAATTTCTAAAAGTTATAGTAACAACTAAAGTATTGATCAATTAATATCTTGAACAAAATCATCGCTTAATAAATCTATTCGTGCCAAATGCAATTCCAATAAATACCACATTCAGAACGTCACAGTAACAATGTTCGTATAAAAACTGAAGGACTCTGGTAGCAGCAAACGCAAACCTACACGCACCTGCAAAATACACAAATTATTATTGAATTTAGTCGATTATACATACATTAGTAAATGTAATTGTTGATGCGTCACCAAAGCTGTCTACGTGTGCAATGCAGCGCTCCAGCGAAGCATAGAATAGTCTTTATTTGCATCTTTATATTCATTCAAATTGTAACTATTCTTTGTCAATTTGTTGTTCAAATTGTAACTTTTTTTCAAGTAAGAGAAATAAAATTATGCATTTAAAACACAAAATGGCTTTCATCGAAAAGTAATTTTGCTTTAAAATTTTTGATGACATGATGATTGTGGTCCAATTTACACAATACTTCTGATCTATAAATTGAAGTGAATTAGCAGATGATAATGATGTAAATAAGACTTCAAATTAAACGATCCGTATAAATGTACTCATAGTAATTCTCAAAATGAATTAACAGTCATTTTTTACTTTCACAACTTTTTACTATTACTTTCGATTATTTCTTCTGCACAATGATAGGCAGCCACTCAATTGTGAACTCTTGCTCAGTCAACAAAATAATATGTAGTTTTATTTAACAGTGGGCACCAAATGATGCAAAATAAAATAATTAGTTAAAATATATCCGGCGTACGTCTTAGACAGTAGTACGACTTGAGCAAAAACTACATAAATCGAGCACACGTTTTCCAAAAAAAAAAACAGAAATAAGGAAAGGTTTCAATTAAATCTAAAACATCTTAAAACTCGAAAACACGAAATGAAATCCGAGTGAATCCGCAAAGAGAAATATAATTAGCACAAGTGCAACGTACCATATGACGCTCGCAGGTCGCATGTTCTCCACAGGCAGCGAAGGGTCAGGCCCGCTCGTCCGTGTTCGACGACGTCTCGTTGTGTTCTTCCAGCAATCGCCACGATGAAAATGAACTCTCGCAATGACAACTCCATAGACAACTCCCTCTCCCAACTCCTATAGTCGCAAAGCATAGATGTGCAAAAGACTTGTAGACGAACGACTGCAGAGCGTGCACGTTCGCTCGGTCGAAGATGGCGTTTCAGAAACTCGAACGCCTCTTCTGTTTTGAAATCGAAACAACGTTCATTTGAATCTTCAAATTTAACAATAAGGGTTTTATAAATAAAATTCCATTCTTTTAATAAACTCTGTAAAAATTTACACTGCAATGAATTAGTCGTTGGTTATTGAAATAAATAAATTTTATTTTCTTTCACTAACCTGTGTTTTACAAGCCATTAAATATTATATAAATACAAACATACAATTTTTTTTTCAAGTTTTAACTTATTGGTTTACAATAAAATTACTAATGATGATATAAACTAGCCACAAAACATTTGTAAACTAACAAAGTTAGCGCAAAAGAGTCTCACTGTGTACTTATTGAGAGTAGAGTTGGTTAAATATTTTGAAATACAATAAAATCAAACCAAGGTCAAAAAAAAAAAATTAATTCAAAAAATGTTTAATATAACATTTTGCTTTAAATTTCGTTTATTTTAAATAATCAAAATCAAATGACATTCTGTGAGAAAACACAAAATAAGTAATTTGAATGATCTAGTGAAAACAAACCACTCCTTTGCAAAGTTGAAAAACAATTAAATGAATAACATATAATAAATACTACTTTTTACATTTTATGATTATTTTAATTGATCATTACAATTTTTACAAGTGTATTTCAATAAAAAATTATTTTATAAATACTTTAGACTAATTTTATAAAAAATTTATTACAGTAATCTATATGATTACATATTGATTTTATCAGTTAATATAAGTTTTACAATGAAACAAAACTTTAAACAAAATTTTCATTTATCAAACAAGTTTCAAATCTAAATTTACTGCGATCATAATATAATAAACTACACAATTCAAAATTATGTATACAATTGTTAATTATAAAAATATTCTTCAAACAGCTTAAATGGTGTTCATAATAAAATAAAACCAATTTTCAAAATATAGAAAATTAAAAAATTATTTTTAGAAATGTGAAATTACCAGACTAGATATATGTCGAAACACACACACACACATACACATCACAAACATTATAAAGTTTTTGGTATATATAAGAACGCAACACTGTAATACTATGCTATACATAAATTTAAAATCTTGTTTAAATATACGTTGCATAACTTTAGCTTTTTTATGCCTGTAAAGATAATTATATATTTCTGAAATTCATATTACTGCAGGCCAAAATATCAAACAAAAGTTGGAAATTTTGAGACTACTCTCCCTTCCTGATAGTTACCAGAGCAACGGGGAACGTGCAGGAAAAATTGTAGATTCACTAAAGGTTGAATACATTCAAACGTTGTTAATATTATTTATATTTTTATTACTATTTATTCCTCCAGGCCAAGAATCCTGCCTACCATCTAGATTTCGACACCAGGATCTACATTTCCCACATGATCCAGCCAAGGCAGCGCTTCAACGCGATTGCCAAAATGTTCTGCGACTCGGATATCGTATCTATAGATTTCACAAATGGAATAAATAAAAATAACAGTGATGGTACTGTCACCAAATACGATAGTGCTGCCATTATGAATCAGTGTGTCCCCAATGTTACAAGTTACTTTAAAGGCGAATGGAGAAAACAATTTCCTGAGGAGAATACAACGTTGAGAAAATTCTACCTGGATGTCGATAAATAAATTACATAAAAAAATTAATTAAATTTTAATATGTATACTAGATAATCCAACAGGCGTTGTCCTGTACTCACGTCTACAATTTTTTACAATCCTCTACTTATATTTACAGTTTACCTAAAAATAATAAATATGTTTTTTAAATTACTCTTCACACCAAAATGCATATACATCAATATAAGTGATGTTAAATGTTCTTAACTGCTTTAAATAAAATGATGAGTCTCAATTTCTACACTAAATTGGAAATTAAAGTCTTTTAAACGGTACAACAAATTCAGAAAAAATTAATATATAGTATCCGCGGTAAAAGTACAATACTACCTTGGATTTTTTCTAATTGTTCCAATAATGTTGCCTACAATTTTTAAGGTTTTTAGTAATTATAATATCTTAATTACATTTTTCTTAGTAATAATTTAAAACACATTATTACCAGGGATCCCCAGCGCCCGCTTTGCCAATTCCCTCCTATTATTTTACCTGTTTTAACCGTAGACCTTATATACATGGACTGCTAGTACCCATACATTTCTCATTATTTATTATGTAATGTATATTATGATATTCAATTATTAAGATGCTTATTGTAAGACAATAAGATGAAAACAAAATGAAGATATATTATTATTAACAATTTTTGATTATTTTTATTCATTACTAGTTTCTAATGGGTTCAATTGAAGTTTTAAAACTTATATGAATAGAATTGTTCCACTTGTCTCGTCTTGAATGAGAAACGTAAAAGGTCTTGTTCCCGAGAAGAATACCTCGCGATCGTTGCCAAATTTATTGGTCAGGACAATTTCTAAAGAATAAAATGTAATATTATACACATATAAGGAAAAGACATATACATGTAGCAGCATATACAGTACTTCCTTTCTCGTTAACTCGCTAACTTCAATGCCAGCCTTTTGCATTATGCCAGATATTGATAATGTATCTCCTGTGGCGATAGCCCTCTTGCAATACCAGGCAGTGAGGACTGAGGACGTAGTTGGACTCAACTGCAGGCCCATCTAAATAACAAAATTTCAATTTCAAATCGAATAATTCTAAATAATGATGCTCTCGATCAGTAGAGGCCTTACCTCTTTTAAAGTATCAACAAGTTTTGCTTTAAAATCAAACTTGTACTTTGGTAAGGTAACATTGAGTTCAACTTCATCTATTAGCCACAATTGCTGCCTCAGAAGTTGGGCGTTCAAATTCTGTTGTAAATGTTGTAATCCGTTTCTCTATATGAATATCGCACTGAATTTTCCACCCTTCGAAGAAATACAATGCAAATAAAATATAATATAATATATATATATATATATATATATATATATATATATATAAATATTTACCTTATATGGCATTCTTAAAATTTTCGCATCTAACTCTTTTGAGTCATGATAGAGAAAGACTTCTTGCTGTCTCATAAAAGGTACTGTGATTAGCCTAATAATAAAAATGGTGATAAATTGATTACTACATTTGTTTATAGAAAACATTTGTTGATTTTTTTTATAAATATATACAGGGCCGTGTCTGGTCAGCATGCAGTGCGTGCACCGCGGCGGCCAAATAGAAAAAAACAAATTCAAAGGCGGCCAACTCATTCGCTGCCGTATTGAAAGTCCGCTGTATATATCTAAAAAACCACCGTAGTAAAAATCAGCCAAAGGCGGCCGTATTTAATGCGAGATCGAATCAAAAACAGGCAGCTCCAAGCTCTGTTCACAAATAATTCTTAAGTGTATAAACTTGGTGTAAGTGGCAAGTTGCGTGAACTCTCCAACATGTGTAAATAATCCACTTAAATATAAAAAATATTTTAATTTAAGAGTACATTGCAATGTGAAAAACTATCGCAGATTATTAAATTTTGTACAAATTTTCTAAAAATGTTAGTTATTTTTTATAAATAGTTTAAAAAACTATTTATAAAACTGTAGTATATTCATTAAAAACAGGTTCCAAAATTGCCAAAGAAATTTATTAATCATTAAATAACTGAGAAACGACTCGTCGATCATTATAAAAATTTAATCAGCACGATTCTCAAATAGAACGTTTGTAATGGTTTTTGAATATTCAAAATCGATTCACGAATGTAGGCTATACGTATAACGTGGACAAAAAATTTGATTTTTAAATAGAATTATGCATTTTTAAGGAAACGTCGACTAAAGATGAAATTTTGACTCACGTAAAAAAGCGCTGCTCTTTTTTTCAAACTTTGATAGTATTTTAAAAATTAAAACAACTTACCGTAGTGTCGAAATATTTAGTTATTTTTGAGACCGTGATCACTATCGGCAATAAAGTTTTAAAAATATCATCGTAACGAAATATTTAACAATTCAATACGAAGAAACGATCCGACCGATCTTTTAAAACAAATCAGCACGATCTCCAATTGATATCTTTTGAACAGTTTCTGATTTTTTAAAATCGATGCAGGATTTTTGGCTAATACGTGTACGAAAAATTTTACATTTTTCTGTTGATCAGAAACAGCTTGGCCGATTGTTGCACAAAACTGAAAGGCGCTTGTCATTATCTAGTTACATCAAATGACTTTTAAAGTTTTGAAATGGATTTAACTGTTTTTGAGAAAACGTTCGCAAAAAGTCAAAAATCGGCTCATGCAGTGCTGGATTACCCGGCAAATTTTTCAGAATGTCAAAATTTTAAATCTGAAAAATTGTCACGGCAATTTATTTTAAGCATTGATCATGATCTCGATAATTTTCTATGAGATAGAATGTTATTCGTTTTCTAATCAAACTTATTCATGGGCGCCTCATTAATATTTTTATTGATGTATCATGTTTAAAATAAAATAAAAAATCAAATTGATAAGCTTTTTTGGGAAAAATAAAATAAAATAAAATAAAATTTTTGGAAGAAATAAATAATTATATAATTTTTAAAATAAAAATTATTAAATTGATAAGCTTTTTTGGAAAAAATATTGAAGCTCTGTTCATTTCTTGCAACTTTGTTAAGATGAATCTTACATACAAAACCCTTAAAATGGTTTCCAGCAATTTACCTTAAGGCACGATGCCATGCACCCCACTAGTTTTTTCTTTAAAATGACATCTATAAAAGTGAACCTAAACTAAAATATCTGCCAATTTGATTTCGTTTTTCCAATTACTATGACTTACCCGTGAAGGGAATGCCAATTGGTGGTAAAAAATGATCATTGAACATACGCACATCAAATTATCAGGTAGTTTTTAAGAATATTAATAATAAGTACAAATTTTGTTAACATTGCTTTGCAAAAAAACTCTAAGTTTTCAAACAAACTGCTTCTTCGGGAAGTTTGTAATAAGTCAGCCCAAGTAGATAATTTCTAATAATGAAGTAATGAAATATGGATGGATCTACAGTCGGCTTACTTTCTACAAAACTACGACCTTACACATGGTATAAGGTTCTGATTTCTATTTGCACTTTTTGCTTCGTATGTTCGAAACGGCTAGACCAGCCTTAGCGAAAACCTAATCAGAACGTCTTCGTATCAATTTTGTAGTGAAGTATACCAAAATGTTCAGAGGGCCTTGAAAAGTGAAGATAAAAAAAACATTTTCGATTCTTTTGCAATTACTATAACTTACCCAACGCAAAGTTAAAAATTATATCTAAATAATTTAAAATAAATTGTTTAACACTATTCCTACCGGGACCGGTCAAATGACCGTTTTTGATTTTTCGATTAGTATTTTTCATATCAAACGTAATTGAATCGTCATCAAACTTTATGACTTTTCCTAATATGTGAGTATAAAACATTTTTCAATGTTAATTTGTTTTTTCAATTTTTATTTTTGGAAAAAAAATTGTATGCTGTCTTACCTACCGCGACCGGTCATTTGACCGGTAGTACGAAAGACGATGTTCGGATGGGATTTTTTGTAGTAATTGTTAAGAATATTTTGGAACTTACAAGAAAATGTAAATTCAGAAGAATTTAGACTGGTAAAAACTGCCTTCTGCAAATTTATATGCATTTGTTTCGATTCTGTATGCGCGGTGCGCAAATAAGGCAAGTAGTATAAATATTGCATTTCTACGGTATAAAAAGTGGGATTTCTCAATTTTCTCAATGTCTATGTATAGACAGATTTTTACGAAGGAATCTAAACAATAAATCGATAGGTTTTGTTTTGAATCCAAAGGTTGGTTCAACTACATTGACAGCAATCAAAATTGTTGTAAAAGACTACGTATTACTATCGACAAACATATATTTTCAATAAAGGTAAGGTGTAAATTCATTCAACATATGTTCAATAGTATTTAGGAAAACGTATAAATATTAGTAACTGTTCAATATACGATGTAAATATAATTATGCCCTGCAAATCGCACAAATGGGGTGTAAAATTTTGGTAACCATCCAGTATACGTAGCAAACTGAGATATTCTTTGAAGATTTATAACTGATGAAACCGTATTATCAAAATCGCTAGTACGACATAAAAATATATAACGTTTTTACCATCCTACATATAGCTAAACTTTTAGTAAAAGAAAACTGATGGTAGGTACAATTGAAGCAATATAACAGCTATAAATACTGGCAGAACGAAAAATCAAAGATTTCAATACTCAAATAATATTTACAATTTTGGAAGATAAGAAAGAAGATTCTAATTTTCACTTACATACACATATGTTGAAAAAATTACACTAATACGGGAGTTAATTCTATTGGTATTAGCGTCGGCACTGGTGTAGATGCCATTCATAAAATAGTCAGAAATTATTTGGTAAAATATGAATTTTAGAGAGAATTCATCAAGAATTTACATTATTTTGGATATATTCAGGATAAATCCATTGTTGTTACATAAAGAAATTACGAGAAGACAATGTACAAGGCAGGAACTTTCTATTCCAATTAACTTGTCGTATAGTTCCAACAAGAATTCAGAAAAAAATCAGCTAAGTACAAGTACAAAACAGATTCCCTAAAAGAAACTATTCCAGATAATGCTTTAGAAAAATGATAGAGAAAACAAAATCAGCCAAAAACGTAAAAAATGCGTGTGCAGAAAATACACTCTAAGAAAAAAAATCGTGAAAAATTGGATAAAACAGTATAAAATGTAGAATTCGCATTATAAAATAAAAGAAATATATTGTATTTGTATTTATAAACTCTTAAACAAGCATTAACTCTTCATTCAATACTGAAAAATACCGATTTTGCATGACCGGTCATTTGACCGGTCGCGGTAGGAATAGCAAACATGAAATGTCGGTAGGAATAGTGTTAATTAAACAAGTAAAATTTTGTCTATTAAAAAGGGCGCCTGAACGGATAGGGCCTAGGGCGGCAGAAAGCTTAACCGCCACTACACACTTTTTTTTTTTTAATTTGGTCTCAAACAATTCAGAAAGATTTGAAAAGTCGAATTTTTTTTGTGAGAGCATATTGAATATTTTCCTATTATGCTATTTTTAAGGGCGGCATTTATATGCTCGCACCCAGGCACGGCCCTGGGCATGGTAATAGGCATTTATTAAAGGAAAACACAAAATTACCTCAGACAAAATTGTAGAGCAGAAATTTTCTAGAAAAAATGTATGAATACTTTTTTTTCCTCAGAGTATTCCTCAACTCCTGCAGAATAATATTTGTGAATATGGATTGGTAAAAAAATAAAAATAAATATATAAAGTATTATTTATTATAGACAATATAAAAATAATTAGTTTGAGAAGTAGCAGTAATAATTTTTTTTATTATATATTTTTATTGACAAAATGCTTAAAATCGAATGCAAATAGGGCAAACAAAAATTAGTTTAAACCCAATTATGAACTTATAGAAAGTACTTTATCGGAAAGTAAATGCAATCATGCGAATAATAATTACCATTGACATAAAAAATCATTTTTAAAATTATTTATTTATCATAACATTCTACATAAATCGTTTTTCTTTCATAAAAAGAATCTTAACTCATTAAGAAATGTGTCGATTATATACAATAGTATTTTTATATAATATGTACAATATAAAATCGGAAATACATTTTTTATAAAATCATCTATTAGTATAAATTATTTCACCTATAGAATTAGGATGAAGAAAACATACATTTTTACAAATAATTATTTATGTAGTCATAATTATGACTTATCGATATATATTTTTGTTTTTATATAGACAAGTACTCATATATTTGCCTGAGAAGAGCTTTGTGCAAAATTATATTATATAAATTGTGCTTTGTTTTGTGACATGTACATTTAAACATCATACAATGAACTTCATCAGATAGCAAATACACGGTTACTATACATGTAAATTGACAATCTTAATTCATTTACACAGAAAAAAATATCTGACACGATACTATAAATACGAAAAAATGTAACTGCACTATTAGAATATTCATAAATGGGATATTCTTTATAAGTAAATAAAATGTGAATATCGAACTTGATTTGATATATTTCTCTTTTGTTATTATAATTTGGGATTTGACTAAACCAAAAATGCAATAGACTTAATTATAACTTACTATTTGTAGGGTTTCGTTCTAATTATTTCATATGTTTTAAAATTATTTACTTGATTAAAAAAAACTTATGCAGAAATTTTCAACTTTTGCTAACATACATACTGTTATTGACAAATTTAATTAACATTCATAAATGAATATTCTAAATTTAAGTGTACGTAATTACGTATATATAAATAAACTAATAAATTTGAATATGAAAGATTTTGAAGTTTCTGAGGATAACCAAGGTTAATATCAAAAAATATTTGTTCGATCATTTTTGCATTTAGTTATTAATCCTAATATTCATAATTTGATATTATTTTCAATTATCCCCGGGCCAATGAAAGGTCAAAATCTTTAGATAGAAGTTTACATACTTAATATTATCCTGAATAGAAGTACTTCTAAATAGATGTCAATAAAACATATTTAAAAAAAAAGTTCATAATTCAATACTTATGTAAAGATACATTAAAGTACATTGGATAATATATTTGAAAAGAATAATATGGGATTATAAATATCGAGTCGAATGCACTAATGTATTTTTGTTTATTTAAATCATGTGAATATATAAAATATCTGTAAATATAGCCTTTGAAATTTCAAATTAACGAAAAAAAATGTTCAGCCCACATATGAGTCCACAAATACATTATATTTTGTATGAAATATTTTTTTTTATAATTTTTGATCTATTCCGTTATTATTGTGAATAATATTGAGTTCTTGATCAAACTTGATATCATATTCAAATTCAGTAAAATAAAAAAAATCTTGAATAGTTAGTCCATGGATTTTACTTGATATTTTCAAATTAAAGAAAATGTGTTTTCAAAAATACCGTGAAGGGTAGTCCTTGAAAAAAATAGTTTAAATTTGATATTCTAAATTGAGAAACATGTTTCAAAATAAATCGTGAAAAATAGTTTATAGTTTTAACTTGATAACATAATTATTAATTTTTTTTCAATAAATCTTGCATCATGTGGAGTACATTGACAGTACTGAGACAGTTTGAACTCAACATTTGGATATATATATATATATATATATATATATATATATATATGCATTTTTAATTTTAGTTCAAATTTTCAAAAAATATATATTTTATTTCTTATTATGACTGTTATACTGGTCATTTGTTCAATGTTGGCAGTAGCTGAGATTTTTTATATAACAATATTTTTACCCTCCAAAACATAACTCAATTTTTTGTTTTTAGTAATTAGAAGAATCCAAACTTTTTCGTTATATTATTAAATATATCTCCAAACATCTGAAATACTATAGCAAATATATATCACTTTTAATAGGCAATCAATGCAATCGACTCGAAATAAATTCTGATTGTATATGAGTTACTTAAAAGATAAATATAATACTTTAAAAGATCAACTAATAAACACATTATAAATCCATTAACAGTGAAGTCATAAATCATGTAAAATTAAAGTAAAATATGTTAATAATATTACAAAATCAATTAATACTCACTAATAGATAAAAAATTGATTGTCACGACTATACATATTACAGCCCGATTCGAGTATATTTCTGAAGTTATTACAATTATTTATGTACACACATTTATAGATGTAATACAGTAAACGATTTCATTGAAAACAGTTTTGGATATACATTATATGTATAAAGTTTCTAATTTGGCACATCGCGTACACTTTGGTTCAATGGCAGACATTCTGAAAAATTAATTTCATTAGTATTTCAAAATTAAAAAAAAACAAAAATTAACCACAATGATAAAAAGAATGCACATAATTTAACCAAATCTAAATCTTCCACTTAAAAAAAGATAATTAAGTGAGATAATTTTTTTCTAAATTATTTCAGGGCAGTTGAAGTCAATACTATCACGCCGTTTAGAATTGACGTCAAGTTCTGGGATACTCTGTATATTATTCTATATAACTATTTTTCCAAACATTATGAATTGTATAACATAGTTTGTATTTGAATTGTAAATCTGTTAATAATCTTTCAATATATTAATTATAAACTATCTTACCTTCAATATCTGTTATACAGAATTAGTAAAGAATTTTGAATCCACATTTGTTCACGTTGGCATATTATATTGGTCATGTTCATACTTCAATATATCAAATGAACAATTATCCTTTGGTATTGTGTCTTTTTGTTCATAAGGGGTCTGACCCGCCGTCCGGAGGTCGTCTCTCACCTAAATAAAATAAAGATATTTTTTTATTTTTATTATTTTTTTATTTTCTATTTTAATTACTACTTCCCAGTTAAGGACATTTAGTAAATTTCAGCCGTAAAGAGACAACTCAATAGTTGTTTTTCCATTCTTTATAATATTAACAATATTTTAATAATAATGATATAATTCTGACTATTTACTTATAAATAATTTATTATAAATAATGACAAAGTTATTTCAATCTTTATCAGGAAAATTGATGACTTAAATCCAGTGGTGCTTTTCTTTTCAACCTACGTCGATAGTTCTCTGTAATTAAGGAGTTTGCTAGTAAATTTGGGTGACTGATGAGCTTGTATCTATTTTTTTTTATTAAACGACCAATTTTTTTATTAATAAGAAAATAAATATAAATAAAAATGAATTATTGTTTGAATTATTATTGAGAGATATACTTTTATTTAGCTTTATTATAATGTAAACATGCTTCATTGATTTACAAGTAGTTATAATAATTACATAAAAAAAAATGAGGAAGGAGAATAGTGGTAATAGGATAAAGGGTAAGGGAATAATTTATTTGTAGTGGTTCTCACGCCATAGACCTGCCTTCGGGCAGACTACCATTTATTATTATTATTATTATAATAATTATGTATGTTTAAACTATTGTGCAAAAAGGAATCAAAATGATAATTTGTGAGAATGTAAAAACTAGTTAAAAGTTGAAGACAATTAGCAGAGTTATGCACAAATATGTAAAACTTGATATATAATAATTTTAATTTTAAAAAGAAATTGCACATAATTATGTAATCATATAAGAGTATGTGACCAATATAAAGCAAATAATAAAACATGAAATTTGATGTAAGTAATTGAATTTGTTAAATTATTAATATGAATGTTTAGTTTAAGTATATTAAAAATAAAAAAAATGTTTTAAAGGATTGATCATGTACTTATACGGTTTGAATAATATAAAACTGACATATAAAACTATTATATATGTTTCGATTATATTATATTATATTATACTATTAAATTCAATTTTTTCCATTGAACATATTTTCTGGTTATGAAAATCGAATTAAGAACACAAAATTTGGTTTTAGATTATCAACTTTGTAGTATTAAATAAATTATATTTAAGTAAAAGCTAAGAAGCAAATGTTATAGAACTAATTTATATGTAAAAGCATATAAGTAATGCTTATCGTTTAACTTAATATTATATAACTAATATGTAAAAATACAATTATAATTATTTTTGCATAACAAATACTTATATTTCTTTCATTAACAAGATCTAATTGTGTAGATATATGTTTATATTAAAACTACATTTATAGCTCAATATGTGTACTATATTATTTATGAATAGAATGCAATCCACGTATTCAAATGCGAAAATATTTCTCCATTTGTTTTAATTTTTATTAATAATTCAGAAAATTTAGTAAAGTGAAGCAAAATACAACATGCAGAAGTTTAAAAAAATAATGTACATGCAATTTTGGACCCATAGAGATATTTATTAAATTAAATTATATAATTTCCCTTAACAAACTTCAGAAAGATTTATCAACATCCGAATAATCGTTTAGAAGTATATTTACATGCATCTTTACAGAAAAATGTTATATATAAGATACACACACACACACACACACACACACATATATATATATATATATATATATATATATATGTATGAACATGTTTATTGTTCTTGATAATCAAGCAATTAATTTTAAAATAATATTAATTGTTTATGAATTAATAAGTTTTTAAATAACTCAAATAATAGTGCAAGAAAAAAACATTTTAAATAAGCACCATAAATATTTACTACCGTTGTACTAAAATATTGTATTAATTAGGTCAATTTGTGTTTCAAACGCTCTGCTATTATAGCTGATCATTAAATTTTGGTAATTAAAATAGTTATTGCTTTGTTCTGAATAATAGTCCAAGAGTTGTTAGTAGTTTATAACTCAGAATTAAATTTTCATAAATTAATCGTAATTATTAATAATTAATCTATAATAATCAATATTAAGAATGATATTTTTATTACTATATCTTTATTATATAATCTGTTCTGATCAAAAATTTAAGTCCAGGTTTTCGCCAAAAATCTTGAGCCGATAATATAAAATTAAAAATCATTCTGATGGTATCAATTGAAAATTTTAATATCAGTGCTGGTTAAGTTTTGGTAAAGATCGGCCAGATCGTTTCTTTGTATTTAATATTTACGTTTTCGCCATGTGCTTCACTAAGAATAACAATGAGTATTATTTTTTTGTTTGATTTTAAATTACAGAAATATATTGGCTCTTGGAAAATTGTTATATATATAGAGATAGTTACACATATAATATGCATAATGCTCTATAGTTATACATAGAGTTGTATGATAGTTATACTTATATGGATTATACTCACAAAATTGAATAAATAACAAATGTGCCAAATTTTTATGGTTTATTGTATAAATTCTAATCAACATTTTCAAAAATCTTCCTTGAATTATTGTATCAAATGCTAAAATTTGTCTGTAATGCTTTTTATAAAATATATAAAAATATCCACATGTAGATTTAGAAAAAAAAAGAAACATAAGAGTTTCCAGCTACGTGTTTATTATTAGCAATTATTTATTAAAGCTTTCAAACGAGTGCGCAAATTACATTGTTTTATTTTGATGTCCATTGGAATATTTTTACTGTACAAAACCTAATAGAAAAACAAATGATTTAAATTATAAAGTTGCAATTAAAATAACCCGAATAGGCATTTTATTCATTTCGGTATTGGCTTCCAATAAATTTTATATATTTAATGAAGTATGTTTTTGTATGCATTTAAGTTGTAAACGATAAATGCAAAGTAAATTTTTAATAAAATAAAATTCGAATTTCTGCTCAGTTCGTGATTAATTATTAAATAATTAATGCAATATTTATATAAAGCTTAATAAAGTAGAGGAACTCTGAATACTTTTTAATATTAGCGGTTAAAGATATACTTATTTAAAATATGTCTAGTAATTAAATTTTTTACATATATATTTTTTTGAATATACATTATTTCAAAATTTTATAGAATCTTCTCAACTACTTAGATGATGTTTTATGCTTTGTGTATTAGTTTATGATTTTTTTGACAATAAATTGATGACAACGATATAATAACTTCCAGCAGAATAATAATTCACACGTTCTCATGAACAATAGAACTTTTTTTATAGCAACATATTTTTATAATAAAGGACCATAGGTTTTTAATGAAGTTGAAGAACTACTAGTAAAAATATTTTGTTCAACATGAAATATCTTGTAAATAATGAGCAGAAATGAAAACCCAACAGAAGTTGTTCGACATTTAGAGGGCAATTTTGTGGTAACATAGAGGATAACATAGCGATGTTATGTTATTAGCTATCTTTATTTATTTCTTGTTACTAAAAACTGTGAAAAAAGTATTATCGTAACTGGGTCTTTGTGATGCGCATTCATAATATACAAATAGAGCATTTTCACAGTTTTTAGTACCAAGAAAGAAGGATAAAATAGAGTTGCTCTAACAATTCTGTTGTGGGATCTAGGTAGACTGGACATCCGATCCGAACAAATCAGAATAACATGTCATATTATATATTTTTGTAAACAACTATTTTGTAATACATTGTTATAAAGTTGGAAATTATTAATTACAAATTAATGGACCGAGTTTTTCGCACAACAGGCCAATCATAGGATAAGGCTGTTATGAAGAACTTTCTATACTAAATATTGACAGAACCCATGTGGTTGCTGTACAGTCAGATGTTTTTCTCAGGTTGTCTCATAGAAAACATAACCAAGAAACCGCGCGTTTGTCAAAAAACTTAAGACACTTAATTGTCTAAACTTCTTAGATAACAGAGTCTTTCTGACTCAGGTTCATAACATACGAGTGACGTTGCAGTTTATGTGTAAAACGCCTACCATCACAGCAAATACATGACATTTTGACAGTATTGAGTATGATTCAGTAGCATAATGGATGGAAGTTAGAGCGTAACATGGCCTTGTCATAACATTGAAGAATCGGCCCATAAGTCATTTTCACACCATGTTATCACAGAATTGGCCCTTTTAGTCTAGTCATTATAGTAAGTTGACCTCGGAATTCGAGATACCCAGCTGTAAGACTGTAAAAACTGTATATTGACACCCTAAAAGTTGCCTCAAAACCTATATATGGTAGAATGTACGTACCTTATCTGTTACAGTATTAACAGACTTACAGCTGGGTATCTCTAATTTGGAGATTCTTACCTAATTTAAGCTTAAATGACTGGATTACTTGATTTCTTGTGAATGTGTCACGTGACATAAACAAAAGCCTTGCCTTTGATAAGCTGATATTTATTCAAAGAAGCAAATTTATTCAAATTTTTTTCATTTACATTATTTTATATATAAATAAAAATTAAAGCGACCGATGTTAAATATTTAAATGCTTTTCCTCATGGAACTGCGCAGAAGCATAAATGCAAGATAAAGTGTCTTTGATAATCGGATACCCTTTAATGACAAGCAAACATCTCCATGTATAAATGAGTCTGCTAAGTAAATACTAACATGCGTCAAAGGTAAATTTGTAATTAGGAAAATTACATACCTTTTCGACTCGTCTCATGACTCGCAAGAAGTTGAGTCCTGCCAATCCCTTCAGCTCCGGAATACTCCAGCGCCCGCTACGCAAAAGTTCTGCAAACAGAACTGGATATTTGGATACGTCTTCCAGGCCTCGGGGAACGCTAAAATCATCGAAATTCTGACTAATAAATGAATATAAATGATTAAGCATTAACAACCACAATTATGTATATAGCAACTAGTTGCATCAGTTTGATGTCCATTCGTTGGATTACAGGTGTCTAAACAATAATTTAGGGTTGTGCCGAAGAGGCTAATTTATAAATTTGTCATATCACAAGGCAAATTAGTTATAGGTTTAGGTTATTATATCTACTTCTATAAAATCGCAGATTTTGAAAAGAAAGCAGTGGTTGTGGTCAAAGGCATCACTTTTATAGTTACAATTAGGGAATGCAATACCGGTATTGCAATCACCGAATTACCGATAAACCGCACGATTTTTCGGCGGTATTTTTATTGGTATTTACCCCAAAAATACCGATATTTTCGGTAATTTTACATAAGCACTATTTGATATATAATACACAAAAGTTTAAATTTCTCGGAACAAATTTATCTTTAAATTCCATAATCGCATGAACAGCTATATCTTCAAGTGATTCTATAGGATAAACAAATGTCAAATATTATCTCAACTTGTCATTAAACTGAATATTTATTGCTTTATTAAGGGCTTCATATCGTGTTACAATAAATAGAATTGGACTGATAGATAATGATGTTTGTTTCATCTTATGTAAAAATGTAACGGTTTTTTAAGTGATATTTGCGCCAAAATATTTTATATCATACAGATTACCTCTGCGTAATTTTTATTTTTTTCTAACTTTATACATAATAATTATGATAAGTACTAAATATTTTTGCTTCTTATTGCAATTATAATATATTATTTTTCAAAAACGTTTCGAAGTTTGAAAATACTATAGAAGCATCACATTGTTTTAAATAACAATACTCAACAATTATAGTAACTTATTATTTATCTTGCTAATTAAACACATCGGATTATGCTAATTTAACACTTCAGATACAGACAATACAATTTCTTATAATAATGTAATAAGATCTTTTCTGAGTTTTTGGTCATTCTCACTCATAAGTTTGTTTTTGGTCAAAAGTACTCAATATACTCGATAGTGATAATGAATTAATTAAATTTGATATAATTTTGTTAAATTATTATTTAAAAAAATAAACGTATTGTTTTATTTTATTGTTTTTATTGTTTAGTTGAAAATAGTTGTAGTTTATATTTGTACTAGTAACTTTCAATTTTGTTTACGTTTGTTTAAGATAATAAAAATACCGGTAATTTACCGGTATTCCGGTTTTAAAATGCAAAATTACCTAAATACCGGTATTGAAATTTTTCATCGGTATTGCATTCTCTAGTTACAATGATTTTTATTTATAAAAACATTTGTATTCAGAAGCAAGCAATTGTAGTTGATGAAGATTTGGCCAGAGCTTTTTCTATTTAACCCGGAACACTTCGGTGTAGGAGATACAATTGTATGAGTATAAATACCTGGAATTTATAATAATAAGAGAGACTAGCAAAAGTAACAAGAGAAGAATATTGTAGATTCAAGATCAATATATATCATAAATTAAATAGTGGTTTTATTCACATATCTTATGATGATAGAATATTTATAATCTACAGTCCGCTTAATATCAAATTAATCATGGTGATCCTCACCAGCAGTATAAAAGTGGTATGCAGAACCGATACAAGAAACAAAATTTTTGTTATTAGAGGCCTAGGTTGAAAAATCTGAAAGTAGAAGCGTGAAAAAAGAAGGAAACAATATCAATATAAATAACTAAACAATTACAATTCAACCAGTTGCCTAAGTTCAATGTCCATTCTTTGGATAACCGATGCTGCCAATAAATTAAAGTGGTGCCAAAGAGACGTACTTTCTGAAGATATAATAATACATTTTAACCAATTTATATGTGCAAGTTGTAATATTTAAATTTTGATAAATTGTTTCGAATTGATTTAACAAGAAAATATTTTTGAAACTTTGTTTGTTCCATCCTCATTGCATCTGCCAAGAAAAAGTTCTTGGTTAAAAAAAAAAACTAGAAATAAATTTATTATTTTATCTTATTCTATGCTATTAAATAATATTGTAACATTCCGTATCATGTTATTTTGTGTTAAGTGCCTATATATTTGTGTTATTAAGTGCATGTATATATTATTCTAGTCCTCTTGGAATTATTCTGTGGGCTATATGTTTAAAATAAATAAAATTAAATTAATAAATAAACGAGAAAACTTATTTTATAAAATAAATAAGTTTTACAAGAAATATGAAAACATTTTTTTTAAATAATCAAGAATAAAAAAATAAAAAAACTAAATCTTTTACTTGTTTGACTAATATAGAAGAACATTCAGTGTATCACTAAATATTTTTTGGAAAAAGATGCAATTTATTAGTTTAGGTAAGAAAGCCAAATAATTTCTTTATCATACTACTATAGGAGGTAGCGAAAAGTTGATGTTAAAATATATTATTACTACACATATGTTGTTAACACATAAAAATGCAAATTTTGGAAATGCTAAATGAAAATGTGCCTATGGAATAAATATTTCAAACAAAATGTTATATTTATTTCCTTCATAATTATTGTATTTCAAGAAACAATAAGTATGATTTTAATAAATTAGACAAAAATTACTACCAAAGCAAGATGAAGTAGTAAGAGATGATTATTTTTGCTTACTATGTTTAAGTTGACTTTACTGTATTTTTCTCCTTTTATTTTTAGTTTTTTTTATTATATTAGCTTTAGCAGAAAAGCCACTGTATCTACTAATTTGTAAATAACGAATTGTGAACAATTTGTCAGCATTCTCTGCTGAATGTGATTAATTATATATATATATATATATATTGGAAAACAAAATTAAAATTTCGTTGTTCAACCTAATAAACTGTAGTTAATATTCTACAAAACATTTTTTGAATAAAAAAATAAAATGATGGATGTGTACCGCTATGGAGTAAAAAGAACTAGGTGACTAATTTTTGAAGCTAGCGGAAAGTTTGATAGCAAAAAAACGTTTCTACATTGATGAAATAGCTAGGAGATTTATACTGCACATAGTCAGATAGCTTTTTGTTTGATATGTATTATTTGTTGATATAATTGGTTTGGTTTTCATAAAATCATTTCTTTTCATTGAGTTTTTGTGTCCCGCCTGACCCTATATCAAATTTGACAATCATTAATAATTAAAATCATTTATGATTATATTTATTATAATTACGAAACAGTTACAAATCAGAATCCAATTATCAATTACTTTCTGCAATAAACAACTTCTAAAACCATACAATATTATTATTGCTATCAATATTTTTTTAACTGAATTTTCTCATTTGGAATCGCAGTGATTGATTTTCTCTTCCTTAAACTAATATATTACATTTTATTGGAGACACGTTCTCAGAATCTAAACTTAACTCCATTGTTGCTCTGTGTACATGAGATATGAGCGAAATGATGCAATCTGTTGTACAATCGAACATGCAATTGTTCGGAGAATAAAAGCAAATTCAACAATGCAAGTCAGGATCAAAAGAATTCGCAATGAACGACTCACAAAGCTTTTGCTATGTGGCATTTATCAGAAGTACAAATCATTTATACTAAATGCAAAAGGGGTTAGCAAATTGGAAAACTTTCCAAATCGGCTGAGAAACATAGTAAATAAATGATTTGGAGAGATATCCATAAGGGCGTAAGTGATTGCGGAATAGTATAAAAATGGGTAAATCTAGCAAAATGTGTGAAAATTTTCTTTTGTACATATACTTTTTCTAATCAGTACACAGACATAATAAATAAACAATTTAGACGAATATGGGGGTAAGTGATTGCGGGCTTTTCAAGTCGCAAGTTGAGTAGTCGTAATTAAAATGGTGAGCTTTTATTGAAATATACCAGCACAACTTACAAAAGATTTTATCAAAATGTGTAACTAGCTTTCATTGATACATATAACTAGTGGTGCATGGCATCGTGCATTAAGACAAATTGCTGGAACTCAGTAATCAATAAATATAGATCAATGATTAATGACAATTGTTAACATTTTCAAATAGATAAATATAATCACTATATATTTTATCGTTCATAAAATATACAGTGACGATCTTATTGCTCAAAATACTTGAGAAAGTTTACGTTAGCAAGAGTTACCGAATAAATCCGTCTGAGGATATATTTCTTACGATTTGCACAACGCATTTAAAATATATACATTTTCAAACTGAATTGTAAATATAAAATACATATTTAAAGTATAACATTTTTTTCTGAAAATTTTGAAATTTGCTTAATCCGTCGTATAAGTAAACTTTAAAATTTGATAGCCTTGGTACAGAACCCAACAAAATTGTAATAAAATTAGTATCTATTTTCAAAAATTTTATTAAATATCTGATAATTTGATGTGCATATGTCTATTAATCATTTTTCTCTACCAAATATCATTTCTTTTACTTTTTTCTTTGTATCTCCGAAACCGCTGAACGTGCTTTCTCAAAAAGCTTATGAATTCTTCATTTTGTCAATACAAGTCTTTGTATTTCGTAACTTGAATAGTCCTAATTGAAATGATATACATATTATGATATAGAAAAGCGCAAGAACTGAAAATTCTATTCAAATGTGTAAATATATTTTTTTGTTAAAACTTATAATTATAAACATTTTAGACAAACAACTTAAAGAGATATATAATTATCGACCGTCGGGGAGTTAGTGGATTGCTACAGTTTTTTTTAAACTAATATATTCTAAGATTTATACAACTATAGTTTCCAGTAAAAATAACATAGCTGATGTTCATCATTTAATAAATAAATTTCTAATAACATTTACCAAGTCAAGCAGTAACCACAAAAAGACGTCGAAGCCTCTAATAATATATTCGTTGCTAATTATTAAGAAAATTGTCGTGTTTGTAAGTAAAAATAGGTAGTTGCTGTACCTCTATAGAATCAAGTAAAATTAATTATACAAGTGCAGTTCTTTATTTTACAAATCAATTTCTAGAAAAAGTGCAGTGTTACAGCTTACCCCGTGTTGGAGCTAGTTATAACATCTGCCAAAGTAAAATAAATAAAATGTATGTATAATGTTTCATATAAAATAAATCATTAATTAACCTAATCTACAATTGTTAACTTAATAATGAATATAGAAGATATAGTATCCTCTGTAACACAATTTACATGTGCCTCAGGTGTAATTTTTTGTATTAATTAATACAACTATTTATACAATTCAACAATTAAAAATTGTTACACACCATCGAAGATTGATAAAATTTAATTCGAAAAATATATGAAATTTACAGAAATTTTCTAATAGAACAATTTTATATTCACTGTCAAAAAACTTGCACAGTTCTGTTTTTGGCGTAATAATAAGATGTACAACGTTTTATATGTATAAGGACAAAAAAATATATCCATATTGTTTAAGATCCTATTGAGGAACACCTGTTACTAGTGTCCCTGTTACAAATTGCCCTTATATATATATATATATATAGTAAATCACAACAAAATTATTTTGTTACAAATACGATTTAGAAATCTGTACTCTGTTATTGAATTAAGTTCTATCTTTTTGTATATAGGTCCTTTTTCTATTTGGGCTTTGTAAGATAAGGACTATTCAACATATTCCCATTTCCTTGAAGAATATAATCGTACTTCACGCACCATTTTGTAGATATCTTCAATAATACGTATAACTGAAGATAAGAAGAAGGAAACGAGGATGTGTTAAGCGATTTAGAATACCATATGGGCATATTTTTGTATCAGAGATAAATCGATAATAAAATTTTATGTTATTTTCAAAATGTATTACTTGCTTGTAATGGATTTTTTTAAAAAAAAATATGCGATAGTGGGTCAAATAAGTTTGGCGACGACTCTCATTGGTAATAGTAATCTAGACCTCGTTATAAACCCTAGCAAGGTGGATACATTTTTAATTACATTATTTTATTGTTTATATAACTATCATTTAGAATTTTCAATATAGAGTGAATATATATATATATATATATACATATATATAATGTATGTATAAATTTACAAACCTGTCGACACCATCAAAGTCAGCCCCAATGCCGACATACTCAGCTCCAATCAGGTCCTTGATATAGTGAATGTGTTCTAAAACAAAGAGATGCAAATTATTTCATTGAAGTCCTGATATTCATTCAGAACATAATAATATTGTAATGTATTGTGCTTTGAAAACTATCTTTGGGATCAATAAAGAAAAAAGTTGTATCCGCACACACACACATACACGCACACACACACACATACGTCCATTTTTTCTAAGGTATGCCAAAATGTTCAGAAGGCTTAGAAGCGTAAAGATATATAAAAATTTTCATTTTCGATGTTTTTGCGATTACTATAACTTGCCCTACGGGAACTTAATGTTAAATTTTTACCTATATATATATATATATACGCTCAAGTTTTTCTGGATTGAGGATTCATACATTTAATAATTAAAAAGAAAGTTTAAAAATCTTAAATGAATAGGTATTCTAGCATAAGCGCCATGCCTAGATTTATTCATTTTTTAATACTATAACTTACAAATATTTTAAAAGAACCTTAAAATTGAGAGTCTATTTCTTTAGCATAGATAATACCGAATATCCCTGGACCGACTAATCTCTATATGCATCACAAATTTATTAATCATAATTATAAATATAAATATGAAAATAATTATACAAGTTATTGTTACTACAAACCTAATAAATAGCTCATTATTAATATATTGAAATTTGTCTAGAAAATATGCCGAATCAGGACTCAAAACATATTCTAGATTAATTAAAGCAAAGTTAACTAACTTCGAATTTTATCTAATTAGAAGCATTAGCATGCCATGAAAAATTTGTTTATAATGAATATAGTTTATCTTAAACTTTTAAAAAATTAATCATGTTAAATAATAATTCATATAAATAATGTCTATAATGAACGATTTTTAATTAGGTTTTTAATATAACAATAATGCATAATATACACTTACATGATATATATATACATATATATATATATATATATATATATATATATATAAATATTTATATAGATCTTTCAGTCTTTTAAAGCAAGCTATCAAATATTTATAACTTTTCTATATAAGTTTTGATTGAAATCCATACGTTTAGGATAGTCCGGAGGTTATAAACTTCAGTAGTAAAACAATATTAAAATTGAATGAATAAAAATGTAAAATAATAATATAATAATATATAGAATTCTGTAAGAACCCATATCATTGTTGTAAGTAAAACACTAATAGATATAGAGAATCGTCTAGTCATTATGCACTAGAGTATAAAATTATATATTAATAAATAAAATTATATAATCAAATATAATGAAAAAATGTCTAGCTTATTGCCAAATTTATGCAAATGTAATTAATATGAAATTTCTTTATAATATGATTTTTTGTATAGTAAAGCACATTCTCAAAATATTTCAACTTTACATGAAAGGTGAAATTCATTTACTTTGAATAATAAGTAATAAGTTTCAATTCAATGGTATAATATCTCCAAACATTTCACAATACGTAGGCATTATATGTATATAATTATTAAACAAACTACAAAATATATAAGGAAAATAAAGATTACAAAAACTTTTGTTATTCTATTCGTTTTGACATATTTTTCATTATAATTAGTTGATAATGAAGATACACATTTATACGAAAATAATTAGCATTAAAATGTATGAAAAATTGGAATTACGGACTTTGTTATAAAAACCAATGATACTTTGTAATGCATTGCATACATTATTTTGTAAAACATAAATATATTCGACACATCCGAGGTAGAATCAGTTTCTATATTGAATAAAGTCATCTTTTTCTATGAAGTAATGCCTTTGAAGATTTAACACACACGCACACACGCGCACACACGCACACACACACACACACACACACATATATATATATATATATATATATATATATATAGTGTGTGTGTATATATGATTAATTTTTTGGAGGATGTAACATCAAGTAAAAACTAAATAATGTAAAGATTTTTAAAACATCTTATTTTTCCATACGTTTCGATGTAAGTTCCTACGCCATCATCAGTAGTTTTGAAATTCTCAGATTTACCTTTATACATATTAACAATACATAACTTGCGAATAATTGATATATGGAATAAAGCACTAAGTGATTACTTTTTTATAAAATATTTTTAGAAATTAGATAAAAGAGATGCATTTCATCCGAGGCGACATTTTCCATAACTTATAAATAATGTTGAAAATAATAATTTTGAAAAAATAAAGATTTTTTAAAATTTTTTATTTTTTACTTGATGTTACGCCCTTCAAAAAAATTAATCATACATTTTAATATCAAATTTAAACACCTTCAAATATATATTATATATATATATATACCAAAATAAAAAATCACAAATTCAAATATATACCCACACATGAATTTAGATGTGATTGCATTTCCGCAGTTCAAATCCTACAATTATCCTTAATAAAGATATATAGCTTATGTATATATTTCGGTAACAAACTAATCCCATATCACTATAGTTGATCATACTTGTTATTGCCAAAAGCATTTGATTTTGCATTCAGAACAATACAGGCAGTTCGATATATTGAAATTAGGTATTCCGGGTGCAGGTAGAGCTAGTACAAAGGCTCATTGAAGAATTGATCGCATGCATTCAAAGGACAAACCAGAATGTCATACAAAAGATATATTGCATTTTGGGAATGTTAATTTAAATTTAGAGATATTGTTGTAAGCGATAAATTCAATTCAATTCAGTTTACTGAACGGATTACTTATAATTGAACGTTTTATTTTACATAGTCGTGAAAAAACCCTCATTGTCAGTAATCATCATTGCTCATTATAAGTAAACTAATATTCTGTGAATCGACATTGAAACCGATACAAAGGAGATTAATATTTATCTATTTTTTGCTCGTGGGTATGTGTTCAAGTAAACTGAACCGGGTAAGAGGTTCCAGGTTCGATCCTGCTTCGAAGAACCTGATATCAAGCAGTAGTGACACCGGTTTTTACTTGGAAATATAGAAAACAATATGTTTTTAAGTGATAATAGCCCTCAACCGGCATTGCTGCATCAATAAAATATTCACCTTATTACAAAAATTGTAATTGGGTAAATATTGCAATAATAGAAACAACTGTTTAGGTAGCCATCTGTAAAATTGATGTAGTATTAAGTCAAAGTAACTTAAAAGACTGAATTTAAGTTCTAGTTTTAATGAAAAAAATAAGAACATGGTTTTAAAATGTTTAGGATTGTTAGAACTTTCTATTGATCTATTTTTTTTAGAGACATATTCTAAACTTTCCCCAACTTTTGATTTAATATGACTACATAAGTACTATTTTACATTTGTTCGTACTCTACATTTATAAATTATTTTCGTAATATACATAATTTTTTTATATGGTATCATTGTAATATTGTACTTAGGTACATTTATATATTTTACTTGAATGACCTAAACAACAAAAAAAATAGATTACACTTTCTCTACAGTTGATCACATGCATTCAAAGAACAAACCAGAATGCCATACAAAAACATATATTGCATTTTGGGAATGTTAATTAAAAATGCAATATATTGTGTTAAATTATATTAACACTCAACAAGTTAACTGAAATTAATATTCATAATATATATTTTTTTGAATTTTTAACTGAATGAGATACGTGTTATTCTCAAAACTGTACATTTTTAAATAAATTTTAATTTTACCAAGGAAGTGGCCAATAAAGAATCATATATACTAAGATAAAAATAATTTTGACATAAAATCAGATCTTCTTTAGTTCTTTATAAATAACCCGAGCAACAAAATAGAGTTAATTAACTTGCCGTAGAGTAAGTTATAGTAAAGAGCCAAAAATCGAAAATTAAAATTTCTGCATATCATCACGTTTCAGAGGTTTCTGAACACATTGGCATCCCTTAGAAAAAATGAAAGTGTGTGTGTCTGTTTTGTGTGTCCGCATTTATCGAATGGTTAAAAAAAATCGATTCCTATTGATAGAAAGATGTGCTGATTAGTTTTTGGCAAAGGCAGATCCAGTCGTTATAGAGATACAAAGCAAAGAGTGCAGAAAATACAAATCGAGTTTTTGAGAGAACGAAGTTGAATGATCGAAAAAAACATTCAATTTGTAATGATTGGGAGAAGTGGTAATTAAAAGACAGGTCCAACCATTTCGAAGATTCAGAGTTAAATGTACAAAAAATGACAGTTTTTGAGAGAACTAAGCATCCGATTACTTATAATTGAACGTTTGGAATCCGATTGGAATGATTCAAAAAACTTTCTGTTTGTGTTGATAAAACAATTTGAAATTATTTCAGGTTTTAATTTTAATTCTAGCTAGAGTTCTAAAGCTGACTTATATACCTTAAATAAATAATTGTAACTTTGTAATTCAGTTAATATAATTCTCATAAATATCAGACAATGTGACAGTGCTTATAATAATCTATTTGAGATCATTTAATATTCTTCGAACATTTCGTCACGGTACGGGAAGTACCAGCAATTTGCCTTAAGGCACGATGCCATACACGACTAGGTAAATTTTCTCCACAATTTAATCTGGTTTGGTATTAATACTATCTTTGTATCCAAACAATCTGATTGATTAAAATCAAAATTATTCCCGACCTAATCCCATCTCCCAACATAATATAGAAATGTTTATATCTATATCGGAGTGTTTTTGTGCAATATACTATACGACCCACGTCAAATGTCCCAAAACTTTTGAATTATTACCATGTCGGGCCCAATTTCTAGGGCATTGTGCGCGCCTTAGCGTTACGCAATGGATTATGTTCGATCCAATTTCATAACTTACGAACCATATACTTTCTATCAATTTCTTAAGTGTATTTTTGGTATATATGTCCGACTACTCGAATTAAGGTGAATTACGCTCTTAGCCAGTGATACAAATTGCTTCATTAAATGGTTTTCGCCCATCAGCCGTTTGACCTTTACCAAGAGGCAAATGGACTATTGCAGAAATTAATATAGAACATTAACCTGGATGCAAAGCGACTGAGTTAATGATGCAC